GGAATGCCGCCTCAGCATGGCTTGATGAGCGGTGCCATGTCTGCGCCCACGATCCGAACAGGTGAAACCCTGGGCGGCGGAAGCGGAGCGAGTGAACTTAACCACTCCGCCACGGGGCGGCCCCAGGCACGTTCCCTTTGATCCTATTTCACCCACTATGGAAATCTCACGACCCAGCTAGAAGGAAAAAGGAAACGTGAGTGGGCAGGCTCAGGCCCAGGAAGGGGAGAAGCAATGTTAGTAGAAAATTTGCAGTCCCCACCACACAAACATTTTTTAAATTTTATCCTGAGTATCAGTAACTGGTTTTGGTTATAAGGAAAATAATGTTTTTTAAAAATTTATTTTTGGTCTTATGATTCTTATTTGTGGAAGTGTAACTTATTTTTTGATACTTATTTCGTATATGACAAACGATGAGCTGTCATAAATATTGCAGATATTCATGACGTTAGTTTTTGAAAAATTTTTGTGTAGATAATCACACAATTTAAGAGAAATTACAGTGTGTAAATGGTATTCCAATTATTTTAATTCTTTTTCGCCTGTGTCATAGCCCCAGCTAGAATGTCTGGTGTGATATATAATTTAAGCACTAATAATGACAGCCTTGTTTGGTTGCTAAGTTAAAAGCCAAAATTTCTGATATTTTCTTACTAAAATTTAAGTTTATTGTAGTGTTTTCATTGATAAATCTCAACTAGTTAAAGGTCTATATTTCTATGCATGGTCTGATGTTTTTTCTAATTTGAATCGATTTGTATTTTACTCTTTCTGCATTTCTAAGACAGTCACATGATGTTTACAATCCATTAATATGTTGAATGCTATTAATGTCTTTCCAATAATAAACCATTCTTGAATTCCTGAGATGCTTTCATCTTCTTTACATTCTGTAAGCATAGCTGAATTTAATCAACGAGTTTTTTACTACAATGTTATCCTAGCACCATAAAATGAGCTGGGGAAGAGGAATCTCTGAAAGATTTTTAATAAGTTTGGATACACCTTTCATTGAATGATTCATGGAACTCTCTGTCTGTAAGTCTGTCAGGGTGTAGGATTTTTCTCTTGGAGATTATTTAAAAATAGAAAGTATCAAATAGATATGATATTTGTCAGTTTGATCAAGAAAGGCAAGACTTGGGTTGAACTTTTTTATGATTTTATTTTATTTTCAGTACAATTTTTATTTCCTTTTTTAATCTCAGCTTTAAACTGAAATTGATATGAAACTGTAAGATCGTAGAGTGTACATGGTATGTTGGTGATTTGATACATGTGTACATCATGAAAAGATTCCTCCGACAAGGTAATTAACACATCCATCACATTTATCTTTTGTGCATGTGATAATGTTTAAGTTCTATTCCCTTAGCAAATTTCCATTACACAATATAGTGTTATCAACTATACTCACTGCATCTTACATTGATCCTCCAACCTTGCTCCTGTTATAGCTGGAAGTTTGTGTCCTTTCACCCACTTCCCCTATTTCCCCCACTCCCGGGCCCCCCAAACCACTTTTCCACTCTCCGTTTCTATGAGTATGACTTGGACTTTTTTCTTTTATTTTAAAGAATCTCCATGTAAGTGATACCATGCAGTATTTGTCTATCTCTGTGTGGCTTATTTCAGTTGTCACAATGTCCTCAAGATCCACTGATGTCACAAATGGCAAGACTTCCTTCTTTCTCATGGCTGCATAATACTGCATTGTATATATATATACACCAAATCTTCTTTATTCATCATCCCTGATGGACACTTAGGTTGTTTCCATATTTTGGGTAATGTGAATAATTCTGCAATGAACATGGAAGTGCAGCTATCGCTTCAATATCCTGTGTTCATTTCCTTTGGAATTATACTCATAATTGGAATTTCTGGGTAGCATGGAATTCTATTTTTAATTGTTTGAGGAACCTCCCTTCTCTTTTCCGTGAGCAGCACCAATTTACATTCCCACAAACAGTGCACAGGGATTCCCTTTTCTCCACATCCTTGCTAACACTTTTTATCTCTTGTCTTCTTGATAGCAGCCATTCTAACAGTTGTGAGGTGATATTTCATTGTGGTTTTGATTTGCATATCCTGATATTTAGTGATGTGAGCACCTTTTGATGTGCCTGTTGGCCATTTGTATATTTTCTTTGGAAAAATGTCTACTCACCTTGTTTACTATTTGTGAGTCTGATCTACTTTTTTGTTTAGTGGTTACCATGAGGTTTGTATTCAAAATCTCCTAGATGAGATAATCCATTTTCTGATGACCTCTTATTCCCTTAGACTAAACCAATTCACTCCCTTTTCTCTTCCCTTCCTAAGTTGTTTTTGTCACATCTTATTCCATCTTGTGTTGCGTGTTTGTGGTTAAAATGACAAGATTATCTTTGTTTTTGGTGTTTTCCTTCCCCTTATCTCTAATGTTTTACTTGAGTATTTGCTAACCTGTTCTGCTGGATAGCTCCAATTCTCTGATTTTGTCTACCTATTTATCTCCTTACTTAGGGCTTTGTAACTCTTTTCTTCCTCTTTTTTTCCAGGTATGAGGGCCTTCAAGAGGATTTCTTGTAGGGTGGGGACTTGTGGTGATGAACTCCCTTAGCTTTTGTTTATCTGGCAAAGTTTTTATTTCTCCATCATATCTGAAGGATATTTTCACAGATAGAGTATTTTTGGCTGAGCCACACGCAAAAGAATGAAAGTAGACCACTATCTTATGCCATACACAAAAATTAACTCAAAATGGATTAAAGACTTGAAGGTAAGACCTGAAACCATAAAACTGCTGGAAGAAAATATAGGTAGTACCCTCTTTGACATAGATCTTAAAAGGATATTCTTAAATACCATGTCTTCTTGGACAAGGGAAATAAAAGAAAAAATAAAAAGTAGGACTTAGACTAAAGAGCTTCTAGAAGACAAAGGAAACTAGGATCAAAAGAAAAACACAACCACCAATTGGGAAAAAATATTTGCAAATCATATATCTGACAAGGGGTTAATCTCCAAAATATATAAAGAACTCACACAACTGAACAACAACAAAACAAACAACCCAATAAAAAAATGGGCAGAGGATATGAAGAGATATTTCTCCAAAGAAGATACACAGATGGCCAACAGGCACATGAAAAGATGTTCAACATCACTAATCATCAGGGAAATGCAAATCAAAACTACACTAAGATATTACCTTACACTTGTTAAAATGGCTATAATCACTGAGACAAAAAATAACAGTTGTTGGAGAGGGTGTAGAGAAAAGGGAACCCTCACACACTGCTGGTGGGAATGCAAATTAGTGCAGCCATTACGGAGATTTCTCAAAAAACTAAAAATAGAAATACCATATGATCCAGCTATCCCACTACTGGGTATCTACCCAAAGAACTTGAAATCAACAATTCAAAGAGAATTATGCACCCCTATGTTCATTGCAGCATTATTCACAATAGCCAAGATGTTGAACCAACCCAAGTGCCCACTGACTGATGATTGGATAAAGAAGATGTGGTGTATATATATACAATGGAATACTACTCGGCCATAAAAAAGACAAAATCATCCCATTTGCAACAACATGGATGGACCTGGTACAGGGGTGAAGGGGAGCACTTATATGGTGACAGACAAGTAATAATGTACAACTGAAATTTCACAATGTTGTAAACTATTATGAACTCAATGAAAAAAATGTCTATTCAGTTCCTCTCCCCAGGTTTGTTTGCTTTGTTTTGTTTTGAGGAAGATTAGCCCTGAGCTAACATCCATGCCCATTTTCCTCTACTTTCTATGTGGGACACCTACCATAGCATGGCTTGCTAAGCAGTGCCATGTCTGCACCCGGGATCGGACAAGGTGAACCCTGGGCCGCCGAAGCGGAACATGCGCACTTAACCGCTGCATCCGTGGGTAGGCCCTCTCTCCCCAGTTTTTAATTAGTTTTGTTTTCTATTGACTTATATGAGTTCTTTTTATATTTTGGATATTAGCCTCTTATCAGGTATATCATTTGCAAATATTTTCTCCCATTTCCTAGGATACCTTTTCATTTTGTTGCTGGTTTCATTTGCTGTGCAGAAGTTTTTTAGTTTGATGTAGTCCCACTTGTTTATTTTTGCTTTTCTTGCCTTTATTTTGGTGTCAAATCTAAAAACACCGTCGCTAAGACCAATGACAAGAAGCTTACCCTCTGTGTTTTCTTCTAGGAGTTTTTTGGTTTCAGGTCTTACATTTTGAGTTCAATTTTGTGTACAATGTAAGATAGGTGTCCAGTTTTCCCAATACCATTTATTGAAGAGACTATCCTTTCCCCATTGTGTATTCTTGGCTTTTTTGTCCTAAATAAATTGACCATATACACATGGGTTTATCTCTGGGCTCTGTTTTCTGTTCCATTGATCTATGTGTCTGTTTCTAAACCAATGATGACATTTTAAAGCTTGTTTAGGGGCCGGCCCGGTGGCGCAGCAGTTAAATTCGCATGTTCCGCTGCGGTGGCCTGGGGTTCGCCAGTTTGTATCCTGGGCGCGGACATGGCACCGCTCAGCAAGCCATGCTGTGGCTGGCGTCCCACATATAAAGTAGAGGAAGATGGACACAGATGTTAGCTCAGGGCCAGTCTTCCTCAGCAAAAAGAGGAGGATTGGCAGCAGATGTTAGCTCAGGGCTAATCTTCTTCTTCAACAAAAAAAAGTTTAATTCCATACTCTCATATTATTCTTAGAGTATGATTTCATATTTATAAACTTGCATGCACTCTGTGAATAGTTATTGGGCTTAAGTTCATGTAATAGACAGTGAGGAGGCCCTACCCTTCCCATACCTCCATTCACAGATCCTACACCATGAGGTCAAGTGTGGGTTTTGTTAAACCGAATGACTTGAATGCTTTCCAATTAGGTAGATAGATCACCAACTAACTCTTGCCACCTGTAGTCCTAAGGTCATTTCTGATCCAATCACACTTGAAAAATTTTAGGAGGAAACACCAATATAAAATTACACCTTTACTTGATGACAGCTAATGGACAATGTCAAGCAATGAAGCCACAGTAGACAAAGCAGTTTCCTTACCCACACGGACAACACAGGGTCACTCCCATCAGAATCTTCATAAAGAAGTGAGCACTCTCTGACTTCCTCTAACTTTGTCTTTCTTGATTACTGCATTTCTTTCCATGTCTGTCCTTGTATTCATTAACTGTTGCTCCTGTAAGAAATCACTGCAAATTAGAGGCTTAAAACACTGCAAAGGAATCATTCCACAGTTTCCCTAAACAACCTATAGCAGGATCTTGGTTTTTGACTCACTGTGAAAATCTCTTTGAATTGGTCTTTGAATTAGTGTTTTTGCCATTCAAAGGGATTATTGACATAGTTGGAGTAATATCTACTATGTTTGTTACAAGTTTCTACTTTGTTTCAATTTTTGTCTTCCACTCTTTTTCTGCTTTATGTGGTTTTGAGTATTTTATATGATTAGACTTTTTCTCTTTCTTAGCATATCAGTTAAACATCTTTTCTTACTTTTTTTTAAGTGGTGCCCTAGAGCTCTCAATCAACATTGACAACTAGTCCAAGTCCACATCAAATAACACTATACGACTTCCCAGGTAGTGTGAGTACCTTATACTAACAAAATAACCCCACTCCTCCCTCCAGTCCCCTGTATGATTGAGGTCATTCATTCTATTTATATAAAAGTGGGATAAGCATATATCTATGCACACATACACATAAGATAGGCATAGGTAATACATTGTTGGTATTACTGTTTTGAAGAAATGGTTCTCTGTTGATCAATTAAGAATAAGAAAAATAATACCTTTTATTTTTCCTTCGCTTACTCCTTCTTCGACACTCTTCTTTCTCTATATAGATCCGAGTATCTGACCAAGATCATTCTCCTTGTCTCTGAAGAAATGCTGTTAACATTTCTTGCAAGGCAGGCACTATGGTCTGAACGTTTGTGTCCCCGCAAATTCATGTTGAAATCCTAACCCCTGAAGATGATAGTGTTGGAGCCGGGCCTTTGGGAGGTGCTCAGGGCACCAGGTTGGGGCCCGCGTGAACGGGACCAGTGCTCTTAGGAAGAGCCTCAGAGACCCCCAGCTCCTCCCCGCACGTGAGGACGCAGCAAGAAGGGCTGACTCCGCACCGGGAAGAGGGTCCTCTCCGCAGAACTCGCCCAGGCTGGCGCCTTGACCCGGGCTGCCCAGCCTCCAGCGCTGGGGGAAACCAACGCTGACTCTCACACGCCACCCCGCCTGGGGCATTTCGGCACAGCGCCCCGAACGGACCGAGCTGGCAGGTTTACGGGCCACCAAGCCCTCACTTTTTGCTTGGCTGACGGAGGCTCCGTCTCCCTGCACCGATGGAGGGTAATTTTGTGGGCACGCAGCTCTCGGAAGGTCAGTTTGCTCTCAACACTGTCCGGGCTTCGTTCCTCTCCTCGCTCGCGGCGTCTGAGGAGACGGCGGCGGTCGCTCTCGGTCCCCTAGAGGGGAGGGGTTTCCCCTCGGGCTTCTTTCACGAAGGTCCCCTGACTTCGATCTCCCGTCGTTTGCAAACGACATGCTACCCGGGGGTCTCGGCATCTTCCCTGCTGAGCGGTCTCTGGCCGTCTGCGTCTGGGGCTCACCGGCTAACGGCCGTCTCTCCCTCGACGTCAGACCTCGGACGCCGAGTCGCCGACTAGAGCGCCGACGTCCCCGCGCCGCCAGGGGGCGCCCGAGCGGCGGGACCGGCGGCTCCGCGCGTCCCGGGCCGCGGGGCGGAGGGCGGGGCGCTGCCGGGCGGGCGGGAGCGGGGTCGGCGCCGGGCCGCGGCCTCAGGGGCCTCCCGGGCAGCAGCGCAGGGAGCCGTGGGCGGGCGTCCCCTCGGGTCCCACGCGGCCCGGGTCTCGAAGCGGTGGCGCCGCGGAGGAAAGGCCTGCCCAGGGTCCCGGGGGCGCGGGGGCCGCCGCCCCAGCGGGAAGGCGGGAGTCCTCCCGGAGTCGGGGCGCCGGGAGAAGCGACCCACAGCGCGGGGAACGCCCGGCAGGGGACCCCGCTGGGAGACCACCCGGCAGTGAGGACGGAGGGAAGGGGGCCAATGGCGAGACGGACAGCGGTCCGAGGGGACCCGCTCACAAGGTCCCGGGTGGGGTCGGAGGCGCCACCGGAACCGCACGTGTCAGCTCTGAGCCCTCGTCGCTAAGGCGAGGCCACTCGGGTCTCCGAGACCCCTGGCGTTCGGGGAGAACCCTCGCCGCTGACCCGCGTGTGAGGCCTCTGCAGCCTCCCGCCTTCCCGCAGCCCCGCAGCTGCTGCCCGGCCTGGGGGAGTGTCCCGCACACGCCAAGGCCGGTTTCCCGCCAAACCCCAGGACCCGAGTGGAATCTTCCACTCCTTCTCTGAGCACATCCCGCTTCCACGTGGGAGCACTGACACTTGGGGAATTGGCAAACACTAGGAACCGGGGCTAGATTTACTGTACTACTGAATGCTGGGACTCAAGTGATGGACATTAAGGTCATAATGCAGACGAAACTTAACTATGTACGGTGTTTCTGACCATGACATTATGTGTGACACAAATCTTTGTGACAAACAATGAGGAAAATCCTAGTATTTAGAAATGATGACTCCATAAAGGTTGCTGATGCCATTTGAGAAAAATTCCAACGTGTGTTTCAGTCTTATTTGAAAATCAAAAGGGAAATAGCTATCACTCATATGAAAACTACGCAAATGCCGTGAACAGAACTTGTACAAGAGGTATACAGTTGGCCAAGACATGAAAAATGCTCAAAATCAAGAATCTTTCAGGAAAGGCAATTAAAACGACACAGATACTACTACACGTGTTAAAAGGCTGACATCAAAGAAGGACTGTATCAAGTATTGGGGGGAAGTGCAATTTTCACACACTGCGGGTGCGACAGCAAAAGGGAGCAATCCATGGTAGATTGCGGTCTGGCAGGTTCTTCAAGAGTTAAACACTCTTCTACCCTGTGACAGACATTGCCCTCTACTGTTATTGACAAAAGATAAAGGAAACATACACTGTAAAAGGAACTGACACAACTGTTTCTAACAGCTTTATTTTCAATAGTTAAAATACAAAAATAACCTGAAAGCCCATAAACACATGAATGCATAAACAGTGCTATATCCAAAGATAATATTACTCAGCAAAAAAGATGAATTAGTCATATATCATCATTGGTAAATCTCTATGAAATATAAAAAAAAAGAAGAAAAAAGACCAAACGTTTTATAATTCTAATCGTAGGATTTCAAGAAAAAGCAAAGGTATCTACTGCAAGCAAAGTAAGTGAATGGGTAGCTGGAGAGGTGGGAAGGCCAAGGAGAGATTATGATAGGATGTGAGGTAAATATACCGAGACACATAAGGTCATTCTCAGGACTATGATGATGGTCTCAGAGGCTCATAAATATGTCAAAACTTAGCAAATTGTACACTTTAAATACAAGCAGTTTAGTTCATGTAAATTATACCTTAATAAAGCTTTAAAAATTGGCTCAATATAAAAAAAGATCTGTATGTCCCATTGTTTTTGGAAAATGTTTGGCAACCCTGTATTGACTCCATCATCTGTCTCCTCACGCCCTCTAGGGGTCAGTCTTCCCTCAGTGACAACAAACATGGAGAACACTGAAGGATATTTCCACCCCAGTTAACAGGAATGCTGCCTGGATCACAAGAGCCACATCCCTGGGCTATGGATCCCCATTCTTTCCTGCCTATGCAGTAATGGCCTTGAGGTGAATAGCACTGGGAGGCTACAGAAATCCACAAAACCTTTCAATTATTTTTATTACATTCTTGGGTAATGATTTCAGCTAAACAAGATAAACATGCCTGGAGGTCCCGAGATTTGTGTAAAACTGATCCAACACAGTCAGTGTCACAGAACAGTTTCTGCATGCACTTTCATAAGAGGCACATTCCATCTAGCTGGCTGCAGTCTCCTCCATTCCCTGTTAAGCCAGTGTTTCTCCATCAATTATGGTTTCCCCTGGACACAACGGTCTTACAACCAGTGACCGTCGCCCAATGAACTGTGGACATCAGGGCACATGGCTCTTTGTAGATGGGAAGATATCCCCTCCACAGGGCTGACGTCCCCTGTGAGACCTCCTGTGAGGAAGGGAAAAAGTTCATGCTGCCCTCACATGCACTTGAGGTTCTCACACCAACCCTCTCTTCAGGGTCATCACTGAGCCTCCTGAATCCCGCTTCCAGGCCTCAAATGAGGAGCAGAAAGCCTTGCAGTATTTCCTGGGAGGCTGTGGGCAGCAAAGGAAATTTGGTCAAAACTGGCAAGTCATTTCCTGCCATTATACTGTCTCTCCTCAGGCACACAAAGTTTGAGACTCTTAAAAAGTTTTCCCTTCATGCTTGTAGAGCCCAAATCTGTTTATAAACTACCCCACACAGTGAGAGAACATCCAAGATTAAAGACGACTTAAACAGGTGGGGCAGGCAGTTCTCCAGTTCATGACTGGGAAGCTGGAATCTCATAACAAGTATCATGTGAGACCAACATGTCCTGAGAAATATCATCTTTGTGAAAAGCTGCCAGCTGAACTCACATGATAGCCCAACTCAATAGTGACACAGGTCCATGCCCAACATAGTCAAGTAGGAGGGAAGCTGACCCCCGTAAGGGTTCACATTATTCCTAATTTGCTCTAATTCCTGAGAGAACAGAGATCAGCTTCGCTGAGCACACAGGGGTGGTGACTGATGCACACTGTGTGGACCTGCCAGGTGGTAGAGGTGAAATGGCTTTGACGCAGAAATCGGCAGTGACATATGTGGCAAGAACCCTAGACGGATTGGAAATGCAACATACCACACATGGGGAATCTCCCCACTGTGCATGTTCAGACACATGAGATTCAGTTCAGACAAATGGCTCCTCAGTTTCCTCTGATGTCCTTACATCAAACCAGGGAATTGCACATCCCCTGTATATCTTGGTCTTTCTCTAGTTTGAATACTCTTATGTAGAGTGAGGGTAGATTTTCCCATAAGAATTTCCCACATTCACTGTGCTCGTAAAGCCATTCTCTATTAGGAGTTCTCCACTGGGAGGGAATGTTTTTGGCTAAAGGACTTTCCACAATCACTGTACTCATGAGACCTGTCTCCTGTGTGAACTGTGATGACAATGGGTGCTGGAATCAAAAGTAAAAGATTTCCCATGTTAGCTGCATTTCTAAAGTCTTTCTCTGTTATGAACTCTCTGGTGCGTTGAGAGATGAGGTTTTTGGCTAAAGGATTTCCCACATTCATTACACTCATAAGGCCTTTCTCCAGTGTGAACTCTCTGGTGTTTAATGAACTGTGATCTAACCTTAAAGGATTTCCCACATTCCCTGCACTCATGAGGCCTTTCTCCAGTATGAGATCTCAGATGATAACGGAGGCTGGAGCTAGCAGTATAAGATTTCCCACATTCCCTGCACTCATAAGGCCTTTCTCCAGTGTGAACTCTTTGATGATAACAGAGGATGGAGCCATAGGTAAAAGATTTCCCACATTCACTGCACACATAAGGCTTTTCTCCCGTGTGAACTCTCTCGTGTATGATGAGCTTCCACCTATTCTTAAAAGATTTCCCACATTCATTACACTTGTAAGGCCTTTCTCCAGTGTGAACTATCTGATGATAACGGAGTTGGGAGCTAAAGATAAAACATTTCCCACATTCACTGCACTCATAAGGCCTTTCTCTACCATGAATCCTCTGATGATAACGGAGGCCAGAACTCATGGTAAAAGATTTCCCGCATTCACTGCACTCATAAGGCCTTTCCCCTGTGTGAGTACTCTGATGATAACGAAGGCTGGACCTAGAAGTAAAAGATTTCCCACATTCCTTGCATTCATAAGGCCTTTCTCCTGTGTGAGATCTCTGATGATAACTGAGGGCAGAGCTACAAGTAAAAGATTTCACACAGACACTACACTTGTAAGGCTTTTCTCCCGTATGAACTCTCTGGTGTAAAATGAGGTTATTTCTTCGATTAAAGAATTTCCCACAATCAGTACACCCATAAGGCCTTCCTCCAATGTGAGCTGTCTGATGTTGACTGAATTGGCTTCTATCCTTAAAGGATTTCCTACATTTACTGGACCCACAAGGCCTATTTCCTGTGTGAGAAATCTGATGATAAATGAGTGCAGAGCTGGAGGTAAAAGATTTCCCACAGTCACTACATTTATAAGACATTTCCCCAGAATGTACTCTCCCATGTTGAATGAACACTGAGCTACGGTTAAAAGATTTCTCACATTCACTGCACACATAGCTGTTCTCTCCACTTTGACTTCTCTGAGTATGAGTAAGGATGGATTGGTGGCTTAAGGATTTCCCACATTTGCTGCACTTGCACAGTCTTGTCCCAGTATGATTTCTTCGATGTTGAACAAGGGTTGAGCTTCGCCTAAAAGATTTGCCACATTCTCCACACACATGAAGCCTTTCCCCAGTGTGGACTCTCTGGTGCATAACAAACGAGGATTTGTACCTGAATGTTTTCCCACATTCATGGCACTCAAAACACTGTCTTCCAGCATGGACACCCTGGTCCTGAACAAGTGTGCGAATGGGAGTGAAGGCTTTCTTGCATTCTCCCCAGGTGTAATGACTGTTTCTGCCTGGTAAAGTGGCCC